GCTGGTGGATAAGGTACAAAGTGGGGGTGGGAGCCCCCCGGGACCAGCGTGGGATGGGGAGGGGGTGATGATGGCTGGTGGCCGACACCCCCAGCCCTGCTTTCTTCTCCCTGCCCCAGGCAACGTGGACGTGGGGTCCCGAGGGACACGGGGCCATCCTGCTGGTGAACTGTGACCGCGACGATCCCAAAGCGGAGTTGCCGGATAACCGGGACACCGCCGTCCGCTCCTACGCCGGTACCGCCACGGCCCACCCGAGAAACCACCCGCTCCCTATTTCCCCTCCCAAACTGTCCTTTTTGACACCCTTTTCCCTACGCCAGACCTGAAGGACATGTCACAGATGGTGCTGAGGACCCGAGGTCCCCGCCCCATCTTCACCGGCCACCGCCTCGTGCTCCACGTGGACTACAGCGACGCCGACAAAGTCGGGGTTTTCTACGGCGGCAGTGAGTACCTGACCTGGGGTTTGGGGTGGGGGCATGGAAAAACACCCCAAATTCTCCATGTTCAAGCTAAAACCCTTCCAGTAGAGCGGGTTCCACCCCTGCAGCATCCAACTCACATCCTACCTCTGGGCAGGGGGTTTATCTCATTCACTGTATGGATTCGCTCCTTGCGCGTACTCCCCGGGATTAAAAAAACACCTTTTTTTTGCAAGGATTTAGCAAAAAAACTAGAGCTGAAAGGCTGCACAAAAAGGGGTGGGGTGTTTGAGGGGTGACACGGCGCTTGCACCCACAGACAGCGTCCCGCTGGAGGAGTACAGGCACGTGCTGGGGGGCTCGAAGCTCACCTACACCGTCAAACCCAGCCGGCACCAGGACGAGAGCATCTTCTACGTGGAGGGACTCGCCTTCCCTGATGTGGGCTTCTCAGGGCTGGTGGCTTTCCATGTCACGCTGCTGGAGAGCCCCGAGAAGGTACCGGCCGTGCTGGGGAGCTGGAAAAGGGGAGGGGGGAGAGCAGAGTCTGGAGCTTTGTCCCTCCTCATCCCTCTTTGTCCCAGGGTTTGCTGGAGACGCCGATTTTCACCGACACGGTGGTTTTCCGCGTGGCCCCGTGGATCATGACCCCCAACACGGCAGCGCCGCTGGAGGTCTTCATCTGCAGGTGGGTGTCGGGTGGGCGGCCGCATCCTGCCCGGTGCTGGTTCAGCTCCCACGTCCTGTTTTTTCCTCCCAGTGTGGAAAACAACGAGGAGTTTGTCACTGCCGTGGGTGCCCTGGCTGAGAAAGCCAAGTGCCCGCTCACCGTCTGCCCGCTGCTGGAGAACCGCAACGACCGCTGGATCCAGGTTGGGTGCAGGATGATGCCCAGCCCCATCCTCACTCCAGCAGCTCCAGGAGGGGCTTCCCTCATTGTTTCCATCCTTTCTCCAGGATGAGGTTGAATTTGGCTACGTCCAAGCCCCCCACAAGACCTTCCCTGTCGTCTTCGACTCGCCCCGGGACCGCGGGCTGGTGGATTTTCCCTTCAAGCGCATCCTGGTACCCGACCCTTCCTCCCTCCTTCTCCATAAAGCTTTGCAAAGCCATCAAAAAATAGACAAAATCCATTTTTTTCCTTGGATTTTTGGGAATGGAAGAGCCAGCATGGGGTGATTTGTGAGCGCTGCACTTTAGGTGCTTATGCGTTGGGTTTTTTAATTGTTACATTGCCTTTTTTAAAATCATCACCACCTTTTCTTTTCCCCCTCTCCAGGGCCCCGATTTTGGTTACGTGGCTCGAACCAGAGGGCACTTCCAGCCTCGATTCCTTTGGGAATTTGGAGGTGAGCCCCCCCGTGACAGTGCAGGGCAAGGAGTACCCCTTGGGCCGCATCCTGATCGGCAGCAGCTTCCCCAGGTGAGATGCAAGACGTGGAGCCCAGAGCACTGGCAAAAAAAAAAACCCAAAAACCCCCAAAAAAACCCAAACGGGGATTTTTAGGCACCGTTTGAGATGGGTTGCAGAGCATCACCTCGGGCAGCTCGAACTGGCAGCTCCCTCCTTGTGCCCACCCCAGGTTCGGAGGCCGGCGGATGGCCAAAGCTGTGAAGGATTTTCTCTTCGCCCAGCGGGTGCAGGCGCCGGTGGAGCTCTTCTCAGACTGGCTCTCTGTTGGCCACGTGGATGAGTTCCTCAGCTTCATCCCCGCGCCCGATCGGAAGGTAATGAGCCCCGTGTGGGGGGGAAGTGGGGTGCAACCTTCACATCCCCCCAAAAATCCTCCCTCCCCCAGAGTTTTCGGCTGCTTCTGGCCAGCCCCAGCGCCTGCTACCAGCTCCTCAAGGAGAAGCAAGAGGAGGGGTTTGGCGAGGCGGCGATGTTCCAAGGTAGGGGGAGGATGAAAAATGGGGCTGGACGGGTTCCTTTTCCCTTTTTCCTACAAAATTCAACGGGGCGGGTGAGCTGATGGCCCAGCTGATGGCAGCAAGGGCCGGGGCAGAACCCCAGGTTGGATGTCCCAGCTGGGGCTGGGGCTGGAGCTCCCTGCCTGGGGTCCTGGCACAGGGCAGCTCCTGGCTCAGGGCTGGGCCATGGGGAAGAGCTCCTGCCCCGTTCTCTGTGCAGGGCTGCAGAAGGATTCCAAGCCCACCATAAACGAGATCCTGGCGGATAAAGGTCTCCGGAAGTTCAATAACTACGTCCAGGTGAGGAGGGGGAGCAGGGGGCTCCTCTCCCGCCCTCCCCGTCCCTCTGTCTGTCCCT